TGGGTGCAGCCCCCCCCCACCAGGCACCCACCCTGGAGGACACAGGGACAGCTACCCCCCATGGACCCCTGTCCCCACGTCCCAGCAGGCAGCAGCCACCATCCCTGCAACTCCCCGCGGGCGCCGGCTCGCAGGACGTACCTCCTCCAGTAGGCGCGGGTCCAGGCAGTCCCCATCGTCGTTGAACAGCGCGTCCCAACTCTCCTCGGCGCCTGGGCTGGCCTGGCTCAGGGTCCCGGCACTGGCCTGCTCTGCCTTTGGGGAGCCACTGCGGAGACCTCCCTCTTCCTCCTCAGCCTTCCGGCTGCACCAGTGCTGCTGCAGTGAGCCCGCGTCCTCATCTGCCCCCGCCGGCTCCTCGGCCCAGGCCGCAGGCGAGAGCCCCTCTACACTGCGGCACAGCAGCTCCAGGGGCAGCGGGGGCTCGTGGCTCTCCGGGGGTGCCCCTTCCCATGCGCTGCTCGCCAGCTCCTCGCCAGCACCCAGCAGGCCGCTCTCAGCCCCAGCACTGCCGTTTGTGCAGGCAGAGGTGCTGCCTGCTCCCTCTGCAGCGGGCACCGGGACGCCCTCCCCACCAGGACGCCCGGCCCCAGCAGCGCTCTCCTCCTTGCCGGGTGGGAGCTGGGATGGGCTGCCCACATCCTGCCTCGGGGTATTCTCCCCAGGGAGCACTGGCGCGTCACCCATGCCACCCTTCAAGCACTCAGTTTCACAGTCAGCTCCTGGTACATCTGAGGTGCTCTGCCCAGCAAGCTCAGCCATGCCTCCCTGCCTCTCCTCTTCCTCCTCCTCTGCTGGCACCCCAGCATCACAGCCCTCACTCTGCCCTGCCAGGAGAAACCCCCCAGGCTCCCTTTCCTCTCCCTGGGCTTTTGGACCTGTAGCCTCCCACATCAGCCTGGGCACGCTGCCCCGGTCGCCTGCCCCTGCCGGCAGCAGGACACCATCTCCCAGGCGCTGGGAGAGGTCCCCACCTGGAGCTGGGGCACTGTCCCCCAAATGCTCCGACATGCCACTTGGCCCTGTCCGACATGCCGGCGTTGGGCTAGCAGGGGGCTCTGGGCTAGCGGGGTCGCCCCCAGGCTCAGGGGTAGCCTCCATGGCCCCAGGCTGGGCACTCGGTGGGGATGGAGGGTCAGGCTCGGTCCTCATCATCCAGCGGCCGCGGCTGAGCTCCCCAAGTCCTTCATCGTGGGATGCTTTGTCCTGCCCATCCCAGGGCTGGGCAACTGGTGGATCCAGGCACAGCTCCTGCATGCTGGGTGATGCACCCAGGCTCTCCAGTGCGATGGGGCAGCTGCCTCCCGGCCTCCGGCAGTGCCCAGCAGAGGCTGCCCGCGGCTCCTTCGGGCTGGCATCCACCTTGCTCTCCCTCC